ACCATTATCCTAGGTTCGTCAGCACCATACTCTCATGGGTTTCATAGTCAACATCCAAGACATGCTGTTTTACTTCAGGTTTTGTTCCATCTTGTAACCTGTCAAGCCATGATAACACTGAAGCTTTGTACCCGTGAAGGCAGGGTTAGAATGAACCTTCAGTAACCCATGCTTGTCGTTAGAGACGACTAACGGGATCGGGAGGTCAGGCTCGCTGGCTTGGTTGACACATGTCATCGGTGCCCAATTACACAGATCGATGCTCATGCTGTTGATCACTGGATTATTTACAGACCGCCGCCATATAGCTGGAATATTGCTGAGTGTGGTGTAAAGCTAAACTCACTCACTCACTCACTGAAGCTTTGTCCAAACCCAACACACTCATTACAAGTGGTTACCTGTGAAGATCCTAAAGTACTGTCGGAAATGCTAGAAAAATGCTTTTTGACTTATATTTAAAATTCAGAGGTATTACAGTTACTTAAATAACAAATATCACTTCAAGAAACATCTACCTAATGTAGACCGGGGGAATAAATTTAGAGACATGCTCTAAACTGTGTTTTTACTGATGAAAATACCAAAAACTTAGAAAAATAAGGGGTAGTTGGACGTTATTTGAAACAAACATTAACTGCCTGTGTTACGTCATCAGCATGCACGGTATCGACAGGTGAAATTGACACCTGAGCACACGCTCGGGCGAGGGGTCATCTCAATAGATTTTTCTGCAAAATGTTGAATATGTGTGCACGAGAGTATCGCATCAGTTATGTAAGGGATCATTTGTGTATGTGTGTTTGTTGTGACATAAACATACGAATTACTGTACATTGGAAAGAATCCTATCACTTGTGGTATCTTATCGATTGATTGTAGAAATGTGCAACGTTTTAATAAATGTTTTGCATGTCAACAGTATAGTTCATTGAAAAAATATGGATGTAATTCGGTCAGTTTGATCTAGTTGTGAACATTGGCCAAAGATTTATTATATATATTTTTCTTCTCATAAAGTTTGTAGACCGTCCGTCTAAGCACTCCCTTGTCAAAGTTGTCAAGGATGGTTTTACGTCTCGGTTTTGCATATGAGACGGTCCCTGTCTTGTCTGATTTGTTTACAATATTGTAAACTTGTTGGTAAGACATGCCAACAGCTCTACAAGTTCTGTAATAAACCCTTTCTACACTAGGTTTACCTCTGTCTTTTTTAAGCAGAAAAAAAACTATAAACCTTTGCAACAATCGACTGCAAATCGTTGGCCATAGTGGACGCTGTGATAAAGATGTGCATGCATGACGGGAAACCTATTTATCAAGACTTAACATTTATATTAATATTTCTTCAATACAGAAAACGATAATTAAGTAAAGTAACACAAACATTCAACATTTATTTGTTTAGGAAAAACGTTAATTCATATTTTTACACCACCTGTATTATTAGCATAAATGTAAAGACTATTTCAGATTTCTGTTGTTGAACTCTGAATAAATCTTAAGTTGCTGTTTTGGTACCAAATTCTCTCCTGTAAACTGCCCTTTAAATGCATGGGGATGTTAAATCGATTGAAATAAAAATTAGGTAGACAATAGGCGAGTTGATATATTGACAACATAGTACATTTATCACCTTTATAAAGATACTAAGGCTAAAAAGCATTTTTCTAGCATTTCCGACAGTACTATAGTTGGAACTGGTCTTCAGCATCCCATGCTTGTTTGGTGGGGACTGTGTTCCTCGCTGAATGATAGATACGTCGCTCTGTCTTAATCGTGTACACTGATGCTCATGATGTTAATCACTGGATTGTCAGGTCCAGTCTTGATTATTTATGAACCGCCATCATATGGCTGGAGTATTGTTGAGAGCAGGGTTAAACAACAAACATAAATGTCATTACAAGTGGAATATCTTCTCCACTACTGGTGTAGTGTCTCAGACCATAGTACATCAACTCTCTCTGTGTTATGAATACATAATGCCATTTCCTGAGAAAGTTTAATCCTAAATATAACGTGTTACATCTCTCCATGTTGTAACTCACTCACTCAATGGCAAGAGACACATTGCTAATGTCACCTAATTACTTTGTCACTGGACAATTAAGCATGTTATATAGTTATGCAAGAATATTAGTCCAAACCAATCACTGTCGTGTGTGACATTGATAATGATCACTTATTACTTTGTCTCTTGACAATTAAGCATGTTAGACAGTTATGCAAGAATATTAGCCAAACAAATCACTGTCATGTGCGACATTGCCGATGTCACCTAATGACTTTTCTCTGGACAATTAAGCGTGTGAGATAGTTATGCAAGGATGTTAGTCCCGACAAACGACAGTCATTGAATGGTCGAACCACATGTCACGGACATTTACCTCCATGGTACTTTCTTCTGCAACCGTGGGAGTAGTGGAATAATTTGGTATGAGTGTTAATTAACTTAATGATACCATCACATAAATGTTAAGTCAGTTGTTAGTTTTGTAATTGCTTTTAGGTCACTGCGACCTAATCTGATTTCTGGCGTTCCATCTGTCACAGGACATTTTTAAATGACAAGGAAAGCAAACAAATTAATCAGTGGTATGTGATTAGCTGTGCTACTTTGTCAGGATTGACATGGTAGAATGTTTGTGTAGCATGTGATGTAGGTATGAGTCTCGTCATCAGCTGAGGAACAAGGAAAATGAGATTGGCTAAACTAAAACCTGATGAAACTTATAAACAGGTTTATTATAGCCATATTTCTGAATGATTCCTTATCTTGCAACCGGAGAAGTTTAAACTCTAAAGACAACAACTCTTAGAATCCACTCAAAAACTCTTCTGGCACACAAGGGACTTGAAACACTGTGAAAGAACTTGTCTCTTGTCGATAGAAGGTCGTTTGATGTCACATTCTGCCTAGCTTTCCATCTATATGTACATCATAACTGCAGTTTAAGACTGCAGCCGTGGTTACGAGATCGCTTTACAATTACACAACGCAGGCATCTATCTCGAGGGATGCCTATCCTGTAACTAGCTTTGCACCCACAAATAGGTGACGGTAACAAGGTCCTCTGGCCTTTCCCTTCACCATCTTAAAATCTAATTACATCGCCATTCACCTCGGCCACGTGGGGACGACCAATTGCGCATGAGACTCTGCATTGTGCTTTGGGAGGATCGCATCATGGCCTCGGGCAGCATGGCCACTTGAGCAAAACAGTCGCCCCAGTCTCACTACAGCTTTTGAGAGAAACAGCGGGATTATCTCTGATGTGTTTGCGAGATTTACTTAATTATTTGCTGTCTTTCGTTTGGCTTACAATGGTAGCCATCCTCTTGTTTCCGTAATGGCCTCAACAAAAATCTTGCCCATTGTCATTTCTTGAAACAGGAAATATTGTCTGTTTATTGATGATGAGTTAAGTTCTTATTATCACCACCAAGGATAACATTAGCCTTCATTGGAATTTGGTATTGTTCGATATGTGGTTTTTGAATTGTGTTTATCTTTTAAAAAGGGTTTTGTTTTTGTTCAAACACAGTGTTTTGTTGGTTGTTTACTTAAATTGCTGGTTCTCAAAGTCACTTAGCAAGGAGGCTTTAACTTGAAATGATTTTAATTAAAGGGATAAAACAGTGTGTCATTAAAAACGGTGTCCTGTTTATCATCGAAAGTCAAATGTCATGATGGTTATTTCAAATTAAATTGAAAAATTAAAATGTTATGAGCAAGGTTGCCCTGTTTATCATCACAATTCAAAAGTAATTATAGTCATTTCAAATAATTGTGCCTTTACATTTTGAATTATAGAAATGAATATAATCCCAGGTCTTCAAAGCAGTGATTACTTTCAGTGTGTATTCCTCTTAGTGAACCTGTTCAAACGCATAAGGGTTTCGTCATCCAAAGTATAAGATCAATATGGTACATGCAGATGCTGGTTTACTGCTTTCATCGACGAGTACACAACCTACACAATTTGGATTCCTGCAAATGAGTACCAACAGTCAGCTCACAGAACCTAATGGAACCACATCAAAGAGGGTTTATTTGTGAAGGTCAGGAATTCCTGATATTTGCATGAAGACACTAATGAACTGCTGCCCCTTATATTCAATTCTCAATGCGATGGGATTCCGATTTACTGAAAGACAGAATCTTCGCTTATTGAGTCTCGCCTAATTTTCAAGAGATAGGAACCAGGATTCATAATGGCAGTTGGACCAGTTTACAAAGGCAGCTTCCTTTGTGGAGTTTGTAGTCGTGTACTGTTCGCCTGCAGACTAATGATAGCTGGATTTCCTTGCCAATTCTTTGCCCTCAATTCAGGCAAAGTCTGGTTGACCATTAGTCGCACCTCGACCACTTTCTCATAATCAGCCCCCTTCCTCCGTCACACTGCGACCTCTAACAAGGCACAATTGCAGAATTTAACTAATTTTGGCATTGACGTGTGACTGTTGATGTGTTGACAACCACGAGGCCCATTTTCCCTGTTGGCGATAGGTTCAGCAATGGAATATGCTCACACTTCAGACGTGTCTAAAAAACTGGTTACAGATCGGAGTGGGGGATGGGTCTCCAAGCAGGCATTATGATTGATTCTACAACTACAAGCTTTCCCATTGAAAATGGGAATATATAAGAATTCAGAGTAGATATCGGACAGTTTCTGAAAGTATGGTGAAAATGGTATTGTTTCAGTATTGTAATAAGCAGTTGACTTTTCTGGATGAATTCTTAGCTGCTTATGCAAAAACACCCGGCCAAATGTCAATATCTGAAAACAGATTTGTGACTCAAAGTTTGACACACGCTATGGAAAAATGAGGACTGTCAAAAGAGATTGGAACAAAAGACACATCAACAATTAAGATCGGTGGAGTGGAATGTAACCCACCACCCTTGCATCTTCAATCTCATTGCCGTTTACTTTCCAAAGACAGAGCAGTCCATTTCATTCATGAGGGTGTGCAGGTGTCTTTACATACGTCTGATCCTTCATTTCTAATCGTCTTTCTTTTAACAACAAAATGTAATTATGGTGTGTGGCAGTTTGCTTGAATAATGAAAAAATCAAAGTGATATGAGTTTCATTTCTTAATTTGATGTTTTAAAAAAAAATGAATTTGAAAATTGAAAGCCCACTGTTAATGAAGCCGTGACAACCGACTGTAGTTTCAAGGAGCAATCTCGGCCTGGGTCTGACGGGTTTGTCAATGCCATCATTGAAATGGCCACTAATTATGAGCAGTAAGTGGCCATCAAATCAGATCCTTCCAGAATTTCATCTTGTGGTGATGATTAAAAACGGAATTTGGTTGCAGACACCTCTTGATCCTTTAAATATTTGATAATGATATTTCTTCCATGTTCACAAAAGTGTCATTTCAGTATCACAAAGTCAACGTTCTCCGAGGTACACACTGATGGTTTTGAACAGAGTAAGAAATGCATTGTTTAGTTGAACATTTTGATGTCTTTCCTGGTACAGTGGCCTTAGTTCTGCATGTGCCAAATTGATTCCAGTGGCAGCGTGTCTCTGTAACAAGTTCCACATGAGGATATGGTATTGACTCACCAAGTGCTTGGTATTGTGTTTGCATAATGAACCACTGGTATCAAAGACTGGCACAATCTCCTGGGAACATATTAAAAACATGGCATGGTTGTAATTCCTTGAAAAAAGAGAACAATTTGCAATGCTGCCTATGATTTTTAGATGCTCGCCAAGTGACTTAATTGCTCACCAAAGTTAATGTGGACACCATGTCCTATTGCTATGTGTACAGACAATTTAATTTGGTCTGTTACAGCTTTGAAGATGCATGAATCATAAATGGTGCTTCCATTAATTGCTTTCAGATTTTACCTTGTTCTAACAACAGACCAACCCCAAACTGCGACGACACATTGGTGCTTTTATATCGATGTTTTATGTCCAACATCTTAAACGACATTTTTGGCATTTTTCTAACGCTAGACATCAAATGTAAAACCAATTCCAATTTGTCCTCAGCATGGATCTTGTCGTCATTAAAATAGCAGAGGACTTGGAATCATGTACTTGGATTTTGGACTGGTCAGGACACATTAAACATTTGTTGACCATCAGCCAATGACATTGTGACGTCACAGTCTGGAACAAGTGTAATAAAATGTTTTTATTGCACTTTTTTATCTGGTAAAATCTAAAATCATATGCATAGTTTGCCATTCCAGTAGAATTGTTATTAATTCAGCCATTAAAGTAAGCTGGGTGCTGCAAGGGAAACTACTTTGTCCCTTTTTATTAGGGAATATATTTTCATGGCAGCAATGCAATATTTTCTTGTAACTTTTCGTTGTTTGAAAAAAATGTCATAAAACATTCATAGTTGAGTAGTGTTTTTTTAGTTCTTTTTATCAAGATAGATTGCTCCCACTAAATATGAGAAAACTTGAGAAAACTTTTATAGTTGTATTTGCACTAGACTATATGAGAGAAGGTATTTCATTTTTAGGATCATCAATTTTTATGAAATGTTTACCTAAAAATACAAAAGTTGAAATGTTCAACTGAACAAAATATGAAAAAATTTCACAAGAAGATACAATTTTTTATCCTGATGTGTACAAACCTTATTTAGATACAATGTCAACATGCCATGAACACTTTGCCCTCTGAAGGAAATGTTATTACTGCAAGTGTATTATCATTAACCAGTCCAGTGCATATTGTATTGAAAGTCTAACCTCACACTCTCTTACACTGACATATCCTCTGATGCCAGCACTGACAGGGGAAGTCTACCTAAGACTCTTCTTCTATATGATTAGATGTGAAGTCTTGACAATGAAGACCTCAAGCAAAGATTTCTAGTGAGGGGTGTTTTTTGGCCTGCATGTTTACAGTGATAATCTTCAGCTTACTGAAATACCTCCCCTGGGTCCAAGTAGCATGTTCATCGACAGAATCAATGAGAGGCACATACGATGTATCATTTGTAATTATTTCTGCTCCTTCCAGGCAGGAGATGAACAACATGAGGACTTTCAGTCTGTTGGCTACATTTTCTGTCTTGTTGATTCCCGCGTACACAATCTGGGATTTCTGTGTCCATTATCTATCATTCCCCAGGTTGTTACATTGAAATGAGTGATGCGAAATACACATCAGACGAGGCTGAGTTTGTTACGTGACAGGTACTTGGACATGACAAGGTGTGATTTTTATGCTTAAAACATTAATCCTGATATTAGTAGGGTTTAACTTGTAAACATTGCTTTTTTTGCCATTAGATTTATTCATGATGAAAACTGTCATGATTGGTTCATTAAGGGTTATTCTGAAAACTATTCAGATCAGTGATAAGTTAGAACCTGCGTAAAATACAGCTAAAACATTTACATCAGTCACTCACTAACCCTATGACTCAAACTGTTCCCTTATTTCAGTCCATCAGTATATATCTGACACAGACAAGTGTGTCATGCTGTGGTCTGAAGACCCACCCACTCAAACTGTTCCCTTATTTCAGTCCATCAGTATATATCTGACACAGACAAGTGTGTCATGCTGCAGTCTGAAGACCAACCCACTCAAACTGTTCCCTTATTTCAGTCCATCAGTATATATCTGACACAGACAAGTGTGTCATGCTGCAGTCTGAAGACCAACCCACTCAAACTGTTCCCTTATTTCAGTCCATCAGTATACATCTGACACAGACAAGTGTGTCATGCTGCGGTCTGAAGTCTGTTCCCTTATTTCAGTCCATCAGTATACATCTGACACAGACAAGTGTGTCATGCAAAGTCTGAAGACCCACCCACTCAAACTGTTCCTTATTCAAACTGTCCATGCCAGTATTTCTTATTTCAGTATCAGACATCTGACACAGACAATGTCATGCTGCAGTCTGAAGACCCACCCACTCAAACTGTTCCCTTATTTCAGTCCATCAGTATACGTCTGACACAGACAAGTGTGTCATGCTGCGGTCTGAAGACCCATCCACTCAAACTGTTCCCTTATTTCAGTCCATCAGTATATGTCTGACACAGACAAGTGTGTCATGCTGCGGTCTGAAGACCCATCCACTCAAACTGTTCCCTTATTTCAGTCCATCAGTATATATCTGACACAGACAAGTGTGTCATGCAGCAGTCTGAAGACCCACCCACTCAAACTGTTCCTGTATGCCATAGAGAAATACATTGTAAATTGATCAATTGGTTTTACATAATCAGTTCACTGGCAATGTCTGGTTTAGAAGAACTGTTGTTTTCCGTCACACCTAGTACCCTATCCAAGATATACCCACCCACTCAAACTGTTCCTGTATGCCATAGAGAAATACATTGAAAATTGATCAATTGGTTTTACATAATCAGTTCACTGGCAATGTCTGGTTTAGAAGAACTGTTGTTTTCCGTCACACCTAGTACCCTATCCAAGATATACCCACCCACTCAAACTGTTCCTGTATGCCATAGAGAAATACATTGAAAATTGATCAATTGGTTTTACATAATCAGTTCACTGGCAATGTCTGGTTTAGAAGAACTGTTGTTTTCCGTCACACCTAGTACCCTATCCAAGATATACCACTACATTGAAGGGCTCACTGTAAGTTGGACATACAGACTGGGACACACACACATACATACATACAACCTACATATATAACTGTGTAGCGCCTTGAGCATGTACTAGCTGCGTGGATATGTGCGTAATATAAATATCCTATAATAATAATAACAATATAACTACACATAGCTTCATCTCCAGTGAAGGAAGGGCAGCAGTACTAAGTTCATGGTTTAAACGTTTCATCAGTTTCCGTCATGTCATGAGTTGTATACTAGGGCCCTGTTTCACAAAGCTCTCGTAGCGCTACGACTATCGTAAGTCAACAGTTACAGTATAGTAGGTACGAATGCTACAAGAAAAGTTACGAGATCTTGGGCTTACGAGAGCTTTGTGAAACGGGGCCCAGGAGTTTGGAGATGGAGCTTTGATGTTGGAATGACTTGTCTGATGTCAGATGATACGACAGATTGAAAGGTTATGGGGATTATTTATAAAAATTGTACATCACGAGTGGTGTCGCTGTTACTGCAGTGGTGTACATTTAAAACTGACATTTAGGGACTGATAGTCTAATTGACTTAATTCGTCCTGATGACAGTATATGTGTGTGGAGTTATTTAGATGTGATGATAGTAAACATGGGATGGTAAAGGTGGTGAAAAATACATTTGGTTGTCAACTTGCTATGATTTCACTGACAAATTCCTGACTTGTTCAGGGGCAAGAGAGGCTCAGTTGTCTAAGGTGTGACAGTTGGACATGAGTGAGTGAGTGAGTTTAGTTTTACGCCGCACTCAGCAATATTCCAGCTATATGGCAGCGGTCTGTAAATAATCTAGTCTGGACCAGACAATCCAGTGATCAACAGCATGAACATTGATCTGCACAATTGGGAACCTGACCACCCGATCCCGTCAGTCGCCTCTTACAAGCATGGGTTACTGAAGGCTCATTCTAACCCAGACCTTCACGGGTACAATTGGACATGAAGGGTTGCATACCTTAGTTTTGCCGGAATCCCGTGACCATTTCGAATTATGATCCTCGGATCTTGCTCAGGAGTTTCACCAAATCGGTACATATTGTGTATCACTTCAGGCCTCCCTTCCACATCGAGCAGACACAGCAGGCAACTGAAATACGGCAACATGCTTTACTTGGGATTATGTTTTCTCAATAAAGTACAGATTCTTCAATCTTGTGGGTTGAGTCCCACCTGGCACACAGTGTACTTTGTGTACCCCTCTGACAAGTGTGAAAACACTGAAACACTCTTCCATAACTGTCAAACCTAACCAACTCACTAGTGCATTTCTCTCCAAAATGCTGGCATGTTTAAAATGATTTCCAAAAAAACCTTTATTTTTACAGGCTTGATCAAGACATGAACCCAATGCATTTTAAAGAACGTAATTGTATTTTTTTCTCAAATCTTGCCACAGTTCAAAGGTGAATTGATCTTTGACTAGTCAGAAAGAAAAATCTTGATTAGGTAATGATTCACCATCAAGCCTCTGTCCAAACGTTTAAACTGAAAGATCTTTGAAAATACTTTTGAAGTGAGCTCACAGTCCAAGACGAGGGCTGAGTGAAGATTTTCAACTCTACAATATTGGTGTTTGCAAAGGGTGCATGTCCATCTCCTTTAAAAAAATGCATTGTTCAATCAGAGAAGGAGAAATTATTAAATTCCATCATACAATCAAGCTTCTTCCTCGTGCCCATGTTCTGCCGAATTTTTGCCTTGTTTGCCCAAACAAAGGTCTTCAATCAAGCTCCGTATTAGTTTGCCCTCTTCTTACGACCCGCCATTAACTTTTTGATTGTGATTTCTGTATTTCTAATGGCCATGTCTGTCTGAATGGTACAAGACTTGACTTTGTGTTTTCGCCTGTTTTCGCAAGCCATCTTATTGTTTAGAGTTTGCAGCAGGAGGCTATTGGAGCAAACTGCTTTATTAGGATCAAACTGGAATTGGGAGGCTCCGTCTTTCTTGCGGGCCTGACGAGGCTTTGGAGACAGATGGCTGCATCGAAGAGATAATTTCCACCAATCGATCACAGTCCGGTTAAAACAAATTCTGTTTGCGTTGAGCCTCATTCCATACTCCAGTCAGAGATGGCAAGTGAACCTGCGGCAATTAATACCTAGCTATTGTGACTCTTCATGTGTGAAATCAAATTATTAAATTTATCAAATGAAGGCGACCCCAGACTGGCTGTTGTTGGTTCACCAGCATGGTAGACAGCACAACATTGTGATTTGCTACGGTTTCAGGGAAATGAACCCTGATGAGAAAACACCCCTTCTGTAAAAGATATTCCGATTTATCTCGGGCCACATATTGCAAAGAAATGGAGGAAGCGAATCTTCATCTGAAGATGTGCTTTCGTCGATGCGTCTGCCTTTGAGATCGTCGCAAGGCCCCAGGTCCCCTCGGCACACCACCCCATTGATCAAAGAATCGCGTGCCGCAAGCAACAAAGATTAAACCCAGGGAGTCGCTCCTCACCAAATAGCAAACACAAGAGCCTGTGCGTGTTCCCCCGTCTCTGAATAGGAATTGGTTGTTTTGCCCCAGCCTCAATGCAGGCATCCTCTGTAACGTTCTGTAGCAAGCTTTCACCACCATTCAGCCATGCAAATTACTGTGCTTGCTCTCTTCACTCTGCAAAAAATGGAATATTTTTGTATTTTTTTTGGTCATAGACTGTTCAGTCGTCATAAAGATTTTAATTTTAGAATGAAGGTTGAGTTCTACCATTTAATTTTTCTAGTGTAATTACTTTTATTGCACCCTACCAAAGATCTATCATTCTATTTTCATTTCACAATATAAAATGTATTGATACTGTATTACTTACACATCTCCTGATCCTTCATAGTGAGTGAGTGAGTGAGTTTAGTTTTACGCCGCACTCAGCAATATTCCAGCTATATGGCGGTGGTCTGTAAATAATCAAGTCTGGACCAGACAATCCAATGATCAACACTATGAGCATTGATCTGCACAATTGGGAACCGATAACATGTGTCAACCAAGTCAGCGAGTCTGACACCCTGATCCCTTTAGTTGCCTCTTACGACAAGCATGGGTTACTGAAGATCAATTCTAACCCAGACCTTCACAGGTATGATCCTTCATGGTGTTGATTGTGCAGTGATAATTGACACTGCATACACAGCCTCCTTAGTCTAGTGGACAGAGTACCTGTACAACATTCAATAGGCAGTTCAATCCCCCATCCGGGGTGTTAACATGGTACTTGTTGTTACCCTGGTGATCATGTTAAGAGAATAAGACATGGACTGTTGACTGTGAATAGAAAGTGTCTGAATTTGGTGTTCATGTCAATCTGCAGCCTAGCATCTCGGAGTAGCACTATAAAACCTAGAAATGTCTGGACAAACACAAGCAGCCTCCCCGACACACACAGCGCAGCCACACAAACACTATACAAGTGCAGCAATATTCATAATATATCATTGGACCCCATGCAGTGTCACCTGACCAGCCACCTAGGTTTCGTGAAACTTCCCTGCATCACAGAACTTTCTGCGACATGAAACTGACATACCATGATATAACTAGTCACCAAGGATATGCCTATACAGTTTCAACATGACACAGTCACAACCACTTTGCATGCAAGCAGATGCTTTGTGGACAAATGATATCATCTAGACAAAAGACCCATGCTCCACTTGGCTTGTCCTGGATGCAATCATCCCCTTTCATGTGTCAAATCTCATACCAGGAAACCGACACTGGATGATCTTCGATACAAAAAAGGACAGTTGACTGGACACAATGTAATAGAGAATATTGTAAGAATTCTTTATTATTTTCACTTCACCATGGGGATTCTCTATAGAATTTATTTACATAATATTGAACAGCTTTAGCGTATTAGGACAAATAATTGATAACTGTGTCTGGGCAAGTGCAGTTTGCTGAATAGCGTTCACAGAATATGATCTATTTCAGTAAGTGTGCATCACTTTGCTGTCTATACTGTTCTATTATTGATACCAACACTTACAGATAAGGAATGATCTGGTGTGCAACACTTATCCTAGGTTTGAGTTACATGATATCATGCAGATAGCGGTGATAACATTTCTTTGTTTGTGCACACATGCTAAATGAAGAGTATTTCATGGTATCATGTTCACATTGGAAATGTTAAACCCAGATTAAAGGGTGTGTTGTTGCATGAGAAAAAGTTGTTTTTTTAAACATCCACAATTTATAAAGTACGGGTAAGGTCTGTTTTACAAATGATGAAGATCATAAATGAATATACTGTGGTGTCTAAAATAACAAATTCACTGTTATTTATGTACAGTTAAAAAGCGTTTTGGTTCCTTATGCATTATTAAGCGTTGAAACCAACTCGAAGTAAATGTAGGAAAATCATGTTTCTGCTATATGAGAAGGTAACTTGAGTAATCTGGTGAGGATTTGCAAGTACTTTCAGGATCTGTTTTTAAATATTTGATGCTAGTTTGCGTAGATGACTGTTGATCACAAAGAAAATAAAGTACGTGAATCATCAGTGTAAAACCTAGCTACACTGGGCCCTGTTAATCCAGACACTTTCCCACTGAACACATCTGAACATCAGTATAGGATTATAGAGACACTGATGAATACTTATGGCTGCTAAACTGGGTCCTGATCCATAAAGCGTCTATAACGTTACAACCTGTTGTAATTCTATTGTTGATCATAGGCTTATGAATGTCGTAGTGCTATGAACTTTTGTGGATTGTGACCCTGGACACTTGTTCATAGGGTCACCTTCCAACTGAACACAGTCTGAACATCAGTAAAGGATTATAGAGACACTGATGAATACTTATGGCTGCTAAACTGGACACTTGTTCATAGGGTCACCTTCCAACTGAATACAGTCTGAACAACTGATGAATACTTATGGCTGCTAAACTGGACACTTGTTCATAGGGTCACCTTCCAACTGAACACAGTCTGAACATCAGTGTAGGATTATAGAGACACTGATGAATACTTATGGCTGCTAAACTGGACACTTGTTCATAGGGTCACCTTCCAACTGAATACAGTCTGAACATCAGTGTAGGATTATAGAGACACTGATGAATACTTATGGCTGCTAAACTGGACACTTGTTAATCAGGACACACTTAAATGGATGATCAAGACTGATTATTCCCTGGTGTGTATGAGTGATGTTCACTCATGTGTTGAGTGATGATCTATTGGTGATGTGTTGATATATAATGTTGTTGCATAGTTCTGACAATCAGTTGTGTTGTTGGTCGACCAGGACAAACAGAACCAGATGCATACTACAAACAATCGGACAACATGTTAAATAGGTTAGCAGAACATTCAGTCCCTCCCAGATTCCATTTTAAGTGAAGCCACTGGATGTTTACACTTGTTTTCCCCATGAAAATCCAGGCTAGGATTAGTCTTTCATGCAACCCATGCTTGTCATTTCCCTTTCAGGAACCCATGCTTGTCATGAGAATCAGCAGCCCAGTCTTTCAGGAACCCATGCTTGTCACGAGGTGGTCTTCAGGAACCCATGCTTGTCATGAGAATTGGCCTTCAGCAGCCCATGCTTGTCATGAGAATTGGTCTTCAGGAACCCATGCTTGTCATGAGAATTGGTCTTCAGCACCCATGCTTGTCATGAGAATTGGTCTTCAGGAACCCATGCTTGTCATGAGAATTGGTCTTCAGGAACCCATGCTTGTCATGAGAATTGGTCTTCAGGAACCCATGCTTGTCATGAGAATTGGTCTTCAGGAACCCATGCTTGTCATGAGAATTGGTCTTCAGGAACCCATGCTTGTCATGAGAATTGGTCTTCAGGAACCCATGGCCTTCAGCAGCCGATACTTGCAGAATGGGTCTTCGGAACCCATGGCCTTCAGCAGCCGAAACTTGTCATAAGAATTGGCCTCCAGCAACCCATGCATGTCTGACAGTAACACAAGAATAGGTGACCCAGCCTTCAGAAAGAAAATCCACTCCATGATACCAGATTTAATCAAGCCAGTTTTAAGGTATGACGAACGCAACATGTTGCCAGTGGTGAGTTTTGATTGATCAGGGTCCGCTTCTGAGTAGTATCGTTTGTATGGATTCCCTCCCAGTTGAACACCATCGCTGCTTCCTCCTCCTTCACTCCATACAGAAACTCTTGCTGGGTTCCAAGGTGGGCTGACATTCCTGGACATGCTCCTGTAGAGATTTGATTGAAGGATGCCATGTATTGATGGCAGGTCTTGGCTGCAAAGCATGGGCATAGCATATACTGGAAGAAGTATCGATCTGAGCGGGAGCAGACGTACAATAGGAGCAGACGTACGCTGAGGACAAACACTCCATGCCAGCAGACCCCTGGTAAATACAAGCTTCCAGCAGGTTGCAACCTCAAAGGTGTAATTTATGGAAATCCTTCCTCTCTAGGGTTTAATTTGGGTTTAACCCCTTTAATGCTAGCTATTAATTGCTTGTTGATTGGAGAGTGGGGAATGGAGAGATACTGCAAAGTAATGTAAGGTGCTGCAGCTCCCCTCCTTTGAACTCGAGTGGTGAAAATGTTTCTGCCACGTATAATTCCCTCTATCAAGGGACCCGATCTATACCAGCAACCTTCGTAGCTGGTATGTAGTTGTAGGAGATGTTGTCATTAACACTTTTCGGTACGGCGATCTTGTGTGGAAAAATTGATTCCAATAATAACCAGTCCTATGTCTTGAATGGTGCTTTAATCGCAAATATATCAAGTGCATGGTGATCCTTCTCCATTACAAAACCAGTGGCATTAAAATTATGGTGTAATGATTTTATACTTATGATGCTTCTTTTCTTTATCAAAAGAAGTCAATTTTTAATTTGAGGAATCTACCCATGGTCATCATGTGTTGATGAGAGCAATAATGCCTTTTCTTTGGAAGACTAGGTGCAGATGGGTAGCCTAGTGGTTAAAGTTTTGCTGATCATCTTGATCGTCTGGTTTCTGTTCCTGACATGGTACAGTGTGTAAAGGGCGTTTCTGGAGTCCTCTGCTGTGATATAGCTGGGATGTTGCTTTAGTGGTGTAAAACCAACTCACTCACTCACTCACTCGCAGTAAACATGTGGACAACATCCTTTAGATAACAATATAGTAAGTAGGTTTGCATTTTCTCAGTATTTTGACAAGCATTTCAGCATCATATTTATTAAATTCTGTGCGATGAATATCAACTGCAAATGTGTCAGATGACACATTCATTGGTGTTAGAAGTATGGTATTTGTCATACAACTATTGATTAACATCTAGAGGAGAAACTGTACACCCAAATGACAATTGATTCTATAGTTAAGAGCACGTTCTGATGATATCTCCAATATGCGGATGTCATTGATATCTATACACAGTGAGGGCTGCATATCAACATCACACCTAAGGGGAACTGGATAATCACTTGCTGTGGTAGTCACTATTAAATATTTCACTGACCTATCTGCTACACCATTCTATGAACACATAGGTTTCCAGACAAACATATTCACAACCTGCAAATAATTCAGAGTTGTTAAACCAAGAAAAAAAAATCTAATATGACCGTCACTTTGGAAAAAATCTCATCAATCTTAATGGATTTTTTGGCAGTGATGATTA